ATAGAGCTATATCACACAGATCTACGCACAGTATGTAAAAAATGTCTGCCATGATTGACAAGTGACGTATGTTTGTTATTGCCTCTGATATTCACAGGCTCTACGGACGTGGTTTCCTGTTCTGTCCATGGAGTCAGAGACCCAGTCACTGCGGCCCTGCATGTCATTCTAGGTTCTACCTGTTGTAATTCTATTGTTTCCTTTCTATGTTTTCTTGGTCTATCTTATACCTTGACCTCCTCTGAACAGGATCATAAATACTGTTAACCTCCAACAGTTCTCCCTGTCACTGACTGATTACACTTGGACTTGTTTTGGTTTTCAGTGAGCCAATCAAAGCCATGTTTCCATGCTAACCTTAGTGTGATTGGCTAATGGAAACTGAAAGTGGTGACTGGTTGGAACACAAAAACAGAAGGCGACTGGTGTGGGTGTTGGGTGGGGGCTGGAGGAGTGAGGAAGGGGGAGTAGGATGCAGACAGATGTCTAAAGGTAGGATCAGTTTCTCTTTAAATCACAGGTTTAGTCTGTGCTGCCACGCCTACTTCATATGCCCCACCCACTTTCAGATGTGTCTGAACGATAGGTTGTGGTGGGATTGTGGTTCATTAGCACTAATTAACAGTGGAAGCAGGGTTTGTGTGGGTCACAGTGTGTGTGTGTGTGTGTGTGTGTTTGACAGATGGGATTATTCTGTGTATTTAATGAGTATAATTCCTCAACAATAGAGGAAATTTCAAATTCCCAGGCAGGAAGCTGATCCCACGGACAGAAGGAGAGACGAGATGTGTTCTTGACACACCCACATAAACACACCTGAACAGTCACACTGTACTGTCATCATCTTCTACTACAGTAGTTATTGGTGTTCAAATCAATATTATTTATACACACAGGAACACATGTAACATGTTGGTGTCTTTTTTGTCTCCTGAGAAGTTTAGTTTGCCTGACAACAGTGAAATTACATAATGTCACAGTTTTCCTCAACCAAAGTGCCAAGAGGAGGTTACAGTGTAACTGAATGGCGAATCATACTGTACTTGATGATACCTATAAATACATTGTAAGCTAATATACTGCAAAATACTACATGTTTTTGAAAAATGAATAATGCACCCTATGGAGTAGATGCTGGCTGAAGCTCACTGACACACTGACCATCATTGCTTTAATCCTCACAACACATTCATGCAGGGATTCACACACACACACACACACAGTGACAGAATGCCATATGGTGGGGAAATCAGACTCAGTCCAGAGAGACAGACAAGTGGTCCGTCAGACAGACAGGTGGAGAGACAACACTTTGGTAGGTTACGACAGGTATGAGGCCAGATGGCACTGTTTGTGTGTGTGTGTGTGTAAGCAGTCAAACGGAATAAGCCCTGACTGTCTGTTTTACTGATTTCACTGTTACATGAATCAGTGTGTCTTCCATGAGGAAAAAAATAAAACGACAATAGAAAATAACTTAGTTTTAGGGCAGTTTTCTGGATTCTAAATGAATGAGACTGGACCAGAACGTCCATCTTTTATATACAGTCTACGGCAGATTTTTCTATCTGGAGCTTAAGGTATAGTTCAGTTTGAGTTAAACAGTTTAGACCTAACACTGACCGTCGTGCAGATGACATCTATCCACTGTTTTCACCTCCAACTTCTGTCCTTCACTCACGCAGGTCACCAGCAGCAGGTGGACATGTGCAGCTTCACGTCTCTTGGTCAGTTGGTGCGTTATGGTTTCTCTGCCATGTTTGGCTTCGGTGGACAGAGTCTAGCACGGGCGGAGAAGAACAGGTGGATGTCATCATCACGGAGACGAGAGTATGCAGTGGTGAAAACTTTAGCTAGATTAAAGTAAGTTTCTCCCAAGATGTCATTCTTTCATCCACATATTATTGCTGCCAAAGAGCATTCCCTGACCTTTACTATTTTGTCTTCAAGATAATAAAAAAATATTGCACTCAACATGAACATTAGTATTTCTTTTCTCTCCTCAGACCAGAAGACTGTCAGCTGTCTTTCATACCAGTGAAAACATCAAGCAGGGATCTGTTTGGACTCCGGTGAGAAACAATATTTATGTATTTGTTTTTTATTTATTTTGTCTGTAAAAAGACATTGTAATTCTTCAGATATGCTGCGTTATATAGAGTATATTATATTTTAAAGTAAGGACTTTTAAATGTTGTTTTTTTAATGAAGGAGTTAATCTGTAGATCAATTTGTTACTTTGATGCCTGAGATTACACTGACAGGAGTGTTTGTCTGGGAAAGTCACTTTCTTTTTTTTTCTTCTCACATTTAAGAGTTAAAGTTAATAATAAACCTCAAGTAAGGACATTTAGTAGAAAATCCAAAAGTACAGTTTAAACTGAACGTCTTCATAATATCTAAAGTAAAACACTTTTAACAAAAACATAAACACCATTTGTTTTCATATTCTACAGAGACAAGAATGGTTTAGACCAGGAAACAGATTCAGGTAAGAGACAAGGTTTTTACTTTATCTACATTATAGTCACCATAGCATCAGTATCAGACACTTGGTATTAGCACTAGCAGCTAGTATGAGAAAACATTGTAAGAGTTTTGCACTTAAAAAGCACTCTGCCTTTATTAGGTGTAAAATAGCCCAATATCACAAATTTGCAAATGAACCAATCATCTGGCCAAGATAAGAAAAAGAAAGTCAGTGTTTTTAGCTCCAGGGTTGACATCAGGTTAATGGTTTTAGCACTGACTGTTTCAGAAACTCATACAACTTCACTTAAAAGAAGTGTAAAAGCCCCTTTAACTTACCTTTAGTCTTTTCACTTAGTCTTTTCCTGTGTTGTTATTGTAGAAGAAGAGGAGACGTGGACGACCAGAGAAGGCCTGTACCTGAACATTAGCATCATGTCCATCCCCTGCCTGAGCCCACATGCTCCTCAAGGCCTGGCCCCTGACACCAGGTATCTACAGGGGCATGATGGGAAGTCATGTGTGTGTTGTGTCGTTTGTCCTGTAATATGTGACCTCCATGTTCTCCTTAACTTTTTTAACAGTTTGACCAGTGGCAGTGCTTCACTGATAGCAGTAGGAAACACTTCCAGGTCAGAGTTCATCAAACACCTGAAGCGATACAGTGCCTCCAGTGGACATGTGAGTACACCTGGCTGAACTACTCTACTCTTGACCTCACCATCCCCAGGCTGTGTCAGCCTGTGTGATTAGCCTGGTTCAGTTTGGCTTGACTTGGCCAGTAAGGCTGCACACTAACCTACTTACTAAATATACTGTCAGTGTGGCAATCATGGTCCCAAAGAGTAAACAGGATGTTTACTGACTGACCTACATACACACGGACGGCTCAGCATCAAACGTGACAGGAATCAAGAATCCTTAAGAACCAGGTTACATGTAATCTTGTGTGTGGGAGTCTAGTATCACCTGGTTCAGTTCTGTCAGGTGAAGACTATGTTGTAAAGCCTCCAGATGAATTTTTATGTAACAAAAAACATATGCTCTCTAAGGCAAAATCCCAAATCCAGCACTTGGGCAAGTATTTTATGTTATATTATATTTTATAGGTGCATTTTTAATACGTATATTTTACTTAGGTGTGTATATTTTGGACAAATGCTTTGACCTAGTTTCTGAAAAATATTTATACATTATTATCACCAAATTATCAAAAAACAGTTTTTGCTATCTTTTACCATTTAAGATAATTCTGGGCTTGCTTTTGTTCATCATTATTATAACACGAAATCTTATTAAAAACACATTTACATAATATCTTGAGTATAGCACAAGGATCAGTTAGCTCGATAATTTTTCACTAAATCTCCTTTTTAAGGGTTTTTGGACGCATCTTAAAATACGCGAAATTATGAGTAAAAGTTCAATCGAAACGTTTTTTTTAAAAGTTCATTTAAATCGTTGTTTTAAGGAAGCAGATAAATACTGTAAATAGACCTTGGTAAGCGATAGAAATATATTTTGGACTTTGCTGCCCCCTGCTAGAAAATCACAGCATTACATTAGACACCGCCGGGCAGTAAACAGGAAGAAGCTGAGCCACTGCTGGTGATTAATAAGGTCTTTAATGAGTAAAACTCAGTACCTGACTGTGTGATCCTGGCCAATTAGTGCTGCTTTAATTTAATTTTTTTTTAGTAAAACTCGTTCTATTTAAAATTCTTTATAGTTTGCTGCTTAGACTTTTGTTAGTATGAATGTTAGGACTTGTTCCTCTTGGACATCATATGATTGTGTAGCTAACATGCTTTAAGGGGATTATGGATCCTCTTGTATCATTAATCTTTTCAACATTTACAGATCTTTTCCTGACCTGGAAGAGCACTGAAAATCTCCCTGATTTTGTTTTCCTCCTTCTGCAGTTTAGCTTCTCTTTTGTGGAGACCCACACTGTGTCTGCAGTGAGGGTCCGCCCTCGCTCACAGACTGGCTGGTCAGAGGGGGAGGAGAACGAAGAGGAGGAAGACTCCAAAACTACCCCTATCATCGGCTCAGAGGGAGCATCGTTCCCCTGGAACATCGATGGAGAGCTGGTGGAGATTGCTAATGAAGTTCTGGTCAGGTACCTTGGTGCAGGGAACACCATTACACCACCACAGTACAACTAATGTTCCTCTCAATAATTAATTACATACTTTAGCCCTGGTGAGGTCATGATGATGTCATCAGGGTTATCTGTCTTGCGTTAGTGACCTCTGACCTGAGAACAAGAGAATATTGTATGACCTCATTCCCTCTGTGTGTGTGTGTTAAATTTAGGGTCCACCCAAGACTCATCACTCTGTATGGAGAGCACATAGACGAGGCTGAAACCACTGCGTCCTGCAGCTGCATCTGAGTCCAACAGAGGCTGCCTTCATTGGGTGTTTTTGTGTGTCTCAGCGAGTGTGTGTGTGTGTGTGCCTGCAAAGAAGCATTGCTATGCTGATGAAAAATGGGAGCTAATGTTGTGGAGGCTGCAGGCACACTGGATGCATCACATCAGTGGTCAACAGGGCTCACAGTGATCACCTGAGATGATAACGTTCTCACTTGTTCTTTAGAAATTATTGCCTGAACATTGTCCTACAGTTTTATCATTTATTTGCACGGTTGCTAAGGAGAGAAAACTGTGGGGCAGCTAACACATTTGAGCTCTTACTATGTTACAATTTTGTAGCAGCAGGGGTCGCTCTAACTCATGTACAGTGATTTTAAAATACTAAGGTTGCTTCACACACACAGCTAGGACAAACAGATGCATGGAGTGTGTCTGTAGTGTGGTACTGTTAGAATAGTAACAGGCCTAAAACTGAGCAAAGTCGTCTTTTTACACCAGCAGCACCTTTTTAGTTTTAACCACTTGTATGTGTATATTTTTGACACTACAATTCAGATGTTTAGATTTGATTTTTAAAAAAACTGTTTTTTTATAGAAAACCTTTTTTTCTTTTTAATGGTGGAAGGTGGAAATACAGTGAGGATCTACAGTGCGGAACAACTTCACAAACAAAAACAAGAAGTTATTCATTAAAAAAAAGAAATCAAACACCTGTGTGTGATGTGCATTTGTACTAAACACATTGAACTGCATTCACAGAACACAGACCGTCAGAACACCACTCACCAAAGACTTTCAATACATTTAAAACACATTTTTTAAATACTTTCAAGTAGTCTTTCACTTTTTAACCCTGTCGCTTTAAGTGTTGCTGTCTACATTACCCAAGATGCATCTGTTCCTGTTCAATTAAAATTAAGTTACAATAGTAATACAAGAGATTACAAAGTAAGAAACTAAACCTGAATCCAGCTGAAACATCTGTGTACATTTATTTGTTTGTAAAATTAAGTTTCTTTTTAGAAAGCACTGTTTAACAATAAATTACGTTCATACGAAGGAGCAGTGGTTTAAAACAGTAGGTTACAAGATGTTTTTTTGCAGCAAAAACACCGTTCAAAGTGGATCCTGATGTGACATGTAATGACTCTCCTGGCTCATAAAAAGGCGGGTCTCTATTCCTCCCTCTGAGCCTAACTCTACATGTGCTCAGATCGTTTCCTCCGTCCTATTTGTCAAGCATTGCCGTACATTGTTCCCAAATGTTTTGGCACGAAAAGATTTCCTGTGAAATTGTTCAGATTGTTTCCAAAGAAAAGCTGTTGTAACAGTTTGGCTATAAGAGGATGAGTGAATAAATGATTCACTTAGCCTCACGCTTCAGACACAATGGGTTTTCCCAAAATGCACCACACTTCAGGCCCCGACCCAGAAAACACCAGACTCTGATGTCAGAGAGTAGGTTCTACTCACTGAAATGAGTCAATACCAAGACTGGATCTGAAACCACAAGCAGGTCAGGGGAGATATTTCTCATTTTTGGCCTTCACATCAGTATACTTTAGGACTTTGTGTCCACAGTCTTAAATCTTTTTTTCCTTAAAATAAGGCAATTTTCTTTCTGTATAAAAATTGTAGAGAAGAAGAGCTCTTGAAGCGAAAACAAAAGCAGTGACAGTGAACACCTCAATATTTGACTGATGAGGTCCTTGCGAGTCCTTTTAAGATAAATAATATATATATTTATATATATGGTGCAAAGAAGAGAATAAGCTACAACAGTCTGTCTGTTTTTCAGGGCAAGCTCTCAGTTCGCTCACAGTTTAGCAGAGGGTCCATTCCACCCAGAGTGACCTTCCTCCAATTTTTAAGTAAGCCACTCTAAGGTCAAATAATGCAGTACTTATGTACTATGTAGTACATAAACTGTACACACTGTCCAGCTTCCAGCAATTGACCTTCTTTGTCTAAATGACATGTAGAGGTCTGCAGGTGGATAAAAATGTCCCTCGGAGAGTATGAAGGTCATCCATTCTCCATACTCCAAAGATACTGCAGGATGTTTTTGATCTGAATGTCTCCATTTCCCTTTCTCTAATCCCACCTTCTGTATGTAGCTGCAGATACTGAATCTCAGTGAAGGCACATCAGGTAAAAATAAAGTTCATGGAACGTCATCATCGTCCACTTTTCATAGAGTCTGACTGCGTGTGTCCAGGCGTCAATAGACCGACTTATACTCACAGAGTCATAGAAGATTAAGTGTAAAGGTTACAGAGGGCGTTAGGAGTAGCTCTCCCTATCAGCATTTTTAGGAACGTAGTCCCAGCTGTGTCTCATCATCTCCTCCTTCTTCATCAGGTCCCTCTTGAAGAAACCAACCTGAGAAACAGGAGTGGAAAAATGAGGCTCGTGTCACTACGTCAACCTCAATTCAATGGGAAACTGCAGTTCCAATGATTTTGTACTGCACCAGATTACACTGCAGTATATTTCTACACAGATTGTAATATGAGAACATAAGGCCTGCGGACCCTGTGTTAAACCAATCCAGTAAACATTAGTGTGGACTCAACTTTTATTTAAAACAACCACATAGGCCATTCAATAGTAGTAGTAACTGTAGTAATATTCTCTATGGTGTGTAAACCTCACCTTCCATAGACACCAGATGAGTGCAGCCAAAATGATCAGACCCAGAACCAGACTGACCACGATGATGAAAACATTCACCGCCATCGACGGTTTATGTGTAAAAAGAGCTTCGACCACCACCTGCAGATGTGAGTCAACATACGGTTATGGTGAAACTGAACCAGAGAACTATTGACCTTGGTGTAAAACAATAGCACCATCCACTCCTTCAACCACGTGGACTGCTACAAATTCAATCACATGGAAAGTGTCACTGTGATTGAAATACCACTGTGTGTTTATCACAGGTCCACTCTGACTCCAGTGTAGCCTTGACTTGTGAAGTCTGTGTTTGTATTAGTGAAGCTCTGAGCTGTGATTGGTCACAGTGTGTGCGTCACCTGTGCTGTCGGTTGTTTCTGGATGAGAACAGTGTCTGGATCGTCTTTAGGTGACGACAGCCTGGCTGTGTTCTCCAACATCATGGTACTGTGACGACCCTGAGACACAGAAATACACTGTTTGATTAATCTGCACTTTATGTTTCCACAAAGATAATAGTTAATAGTTTATGTTGTTTTCCCTCTGTATTAACTGCTAATGTTTTACTACAAACACATCTGGTGTGTTACGCAGGTGGATAACTGTTTGTGTGTGTGTTTTACCGGAGCTTGTAGAAGCACAGCGGGGTTCAGTCTGGCCTCCAGTTGGATCGTGGCCTCTCTTCCTGTCTCCAAGTTACCCAGACGACACACCAGCCGCTCACACAGATCATCACCACGTCCACAGAACTGCATGAACCGCAGGGAACAAGATTTTAGATGCACTGACGGTCGGATAGAGACAAATGTTTCACAAAACTTCTAAACACCTCAGGTGAATTTTACATTTATATTTACATTTATGCATTTAGCCACTACACTATGGACACTCTGATTGGCTGCTGCTAACAAGAAATGCTATGTGTGCCTAGCAGTTCTATTTTCAAACAAAGTAACTGTAGAGTTGGTGTGTGTGTATGTGCATTCAAACTCACCATTCTGCGAGTGGAGGAAGAGAAGAAGAAGACGAGTTGTTTGATGAAGGAGGCCTGAGGGACGTCACAGTCCTCGATGACTGACACAGTGGAGTCACTGATGGAACACACACCTTGGGACGACTGTAACAGACAGGGGCAACAAAAAAAAGTTTTACTGACGAGTACTAGACATTTGACATGTACTCTGAGGTACTTCAATAAAAACTACAATAACATATTTTGAACTCCTTGTGTTGATAGGGTGGACGTACCTGCCAGTCGACCACCTGCTGCAGTCTGTGTCTGTACGGTGCCAGAATCTTTGGTAAAGTGATTTCAACCACTGTGTCCAGAGACCTGCTGGGACCAGAGTTCAACACCTGCAGACGGTCGGGACAAGGAGACAAGATCAGTCACAGAACTAAAAGCTGATGATCAGAAACACAGATGTGAAATCAAAGTTACTGCCTAAATGAATTCAATGTGCTTCCTGTTTTTCTTTACACCCACACTTCACTGATTTATTTATGTTGCAGTGTTTTACAAAATTTGGTTTAACTTCCTTGTGATGCATTTTAATAAAAATAAAACTTGAAGGCTGTGAAAATTCTTCCCAGAGGTTCTGCAGCCCTCTGAGTTTCCCTCAGAGGTTAGAAAACGGCTTCTTCGAAATATTGTTTACATACTTCTATTCAAGGTGTTGACTAGGCCTCCTTTGTAGGCATGGAGCTAATGCAGAAAGGGCAAGGCAGTTAAAATTAATTCATTTAAAAATATATTTTTAAACTTGCCACAATGAGAAAAATTCACTGAAGAGTACATTTTCATTTCTTTTTAATTTTTGGTAAGAATACAGTTTTTAGGATTTTGAATGTTTCCAGTAAAAACTGTGAAGAGTCTTGAGCCGTGAGAATAGCTTAGAGCACAGTATTGTTAACATAATATTGTTTTTTAAAATAAAACAATACATATGTGGAATATATCTTAACATTTGACATATCGCTACTCTATAGCATAGCTTCATAGTTCTACTTCTGAAGATCTTTATTTTGTTTTTTATGTATGTAACACCAGCCATGACAAACGAAGGAATCCTCAGAAATGTTTAAGCCAGAGATGTTTTTACCTTATATGTATAATTGAATGTTTCAGCGTAACATTCAACTGGAGTCAGCTCTTCATCTCCAAACACAAAAGAGTTAGGAGTCACATAACTGTAGAGGAGCAGACAGACAGACGGGCAGACAGACAGACAGAGAGACAGACAGGCAGACAGACAGACAGACAGGCAGGCAGACAGACAGAGAGACAGACAGGCAGACAGACAGATAGAGAGACAGACAGACAGACAGACAGGCAGACAGACAGATAGAGAGACAGACAGACAGACAGACAGAGAGACAGGCAGACAGGGATTATTGATTTAAGAATGAAAATCATAGTGCATCATCATCTATTTTTCTTATTTAAATATAATTTATTTTCTTAAATTTCCTTTTTCACATTATATTTAGATTTATTTTTTTAAATACATTTATTTCATTCATTTTCATATGAATGCCTAATGACAGTGACAGCCCTGTTTTCTGTCTCACCCGTGGAAGTTAATGTTGACTCCATACTTAAGAGGAAGCAGGAGACTGAGGGCGTTGTCATGGAGATATTCCTCTTTCTCATAGTTATCACTGAAAGAAAGAAAATAAATGAAAGCAAGTTTGGTCAGAAGCACTTCTGACATGTGAAAATTCATTTGTAGCCAGAAAGTTCTTTTTTAAGCAGTGGTGATATCGCCTCTTACCTGCTGGTGTTCACGTGGATGCTGATGTCACCTGGTGTACTGTTCTGGCTCACGTCCAATAAGAAGTTGATATTCATCTACAAGACAGAAGAATTTGGTAAAAAAATACTGCAAAGACGGCCGCAGGACGGCTTTTCACTTCCTCAGTGACTATTAACAGAACTTGTCTATGAAGTTGATGTTATTATGTCACATTTAAAACTGCTGTTCTGTCTGACTTTGGGGGAAATATCTGAGCATTTCACAACATTTACTGAGAAAAAAGGGAATGAGACTAATATCTGCTGACAGGACAAAGTCACTGTAGGGTTTTAGTTTTTGACAGAGGTTAACAGGACATATATACAGGACTGTATATATGTATATAAATATATTATATATAAGTGAACCCTAAACCTAAGTGGTTCACACACCAACACTTCATTTAGAACTTTTTTTTTAAACACTTGAGCCTGACCTGAGCCTTGGCAAGGAGCAGGAAGCTGGTGACGCTGCAGTCGACAACCACTGCTGTACTGTTGACTTCCTGTGTGACATCACAGTTCACCGTGTTGTCTTGCTGCAAACAAAGACACACAGGCACATCACTCTCTGCACTTTGTTATTTTTTCTTTCAACATTTATCAAAGATGATTATTTTACCAAAATCAAGCTGACATGATGTCAAGATATGAACCTTGAATGTGTAAAGTCATGTATTTATTTGAAGTAATGGCAATCTTGATGATGACTTGACTAAATTGTATAATGGCAATGGTCTTAATTCAACATTTTTTTAAAATACAAAAATGAAAATCTCTAAATCGATTCCAGTTTAAAGTACTTTTTCATGCATGTGGTTTGTAGTTTTACAGTGAAAATGTGAACCATAAGAAGAGCTATGAGTTTTTAATGGTTAAATCAACAGATAAATGATTCATGTCAGTAACAAAGCAGAGAAAAACTCTTTTACATTGTTTCTGACAACACAGGCTGCTGACTCTAACATTCTTCATCATACTGTCAACATGTGTCTTCATAGAAATAGGACTAATTTAATGAGTCATCTTTTTTATAGGCCTACATTTTATTTTTATTTATTCAAGCTTGGGGATGTATCAAAAGTTTCCAACAGCTTCTCTTTTTGTAATGTTTTTTTAACAGAATACAATCTAATTTGTATGAAATCAAACTTTTATTACAATTATTTTATTTAATCACTTGTTATACAAACTGCTGCCATCAAACCTCAGGGTTAGAGCAGCATTTGGATGTTTGCAGACTGTGTTAGCATAGGTCAGTAACATATGTACGGTATGTTTTTCCAACAGCAGAAATCGAGTTACCACGCACCATAGGAACAGAACTCCAACCTAAGTGAAGGATCCTTATCCTGATCACAGTACAGTTGGGCCAGGGTTAACTTACGTTCTGCAGTACTTTGACGTAGTGGATGTTGTCTGGGAACTGCAGCATCAGTCGTGGCAGGAAGGCGTCATCACCAGAGTTTAACATGGTTGTTTTCAACATGATGGTCTGTCCAGAGCCCAGAGCAAAAAACTGCTGCTGACTGAAGACACAAACAACAAACACACTCATGTTCTATTCATGTTCTCACCAAATAAATATCTTCTGCAGACAGACGAAAAAATAAATATGTCACTTAGTAATAGAGTCATTCTACTGTTAAAACATCAAACTTACTTAAGACCAACACCACATGTCAGAAATACAGTCATATGGTAGTGTTTTGAAAAAGCATCGAATGAGAAGTCCAAGATAAAAGCAGCGCTGCCCACTGAAGCTGTCCTAAATAAATCCTCTGAAATTAGCCTGCAGCTAATTAACATCATGTGTTAGTCTGAGTGAAGGCCACACACCTAACACTGGCTGATAATTCCAGAGGTTATTTATGTCTCCCTTTTCATTAAAAAATCATTTAATCATCATCATAACAGATGCCACTTAATTCATAAATAATCAACTACACGTCTGTTTCAATATTCCATCAGTTGTTCTTTGGGATTCAAACCCATGACCCTGCTGTGTATGTGTGTTTCTGTGTTCTTACTCTGGAAGCATGAGTTCAGCCGACAGTTGCATGTTGGTGGAACAGTTCAGCAGAGAACAGGATCGAGCAAACTGTGTCTGAGGGAAAGAAAAATCAAAAGAGGTTCATTTGATTTGAAAGTGACCTCTGACCTGTGTCTTACGTCTGAGCAGAAATGTCCTGATGACTAACTTTAGCCTCAACTTCCTGCATCGTAACTGGTCTGGCTGTTTCCCTGAGTCAGTGGAACCTGACGCAAAGGCAGGATGAGATGACTAATGACGGCTAATGCGCCGCAGCTGTACGCTCCTCTGGACGAGCAGGAAGTGCTTATGGCTGTATGTGGAGGAGCTGACATTGGATTAGTCCTTTTCTACCTTATAATAAGATAAGATAAGAACTTGAACAAGAACACGACACAGATAAAGAGTATTTTCCGTTAATCCTATTAGCTCCAGACTAACTGCTAGCTCTAGATTCAAAACTATTCACTCACTCATTTGATTATGAAGAGCAAGTTCAGGATTATTGATCATTTATGACCATGGTTATCAACTGGCGGCCCACAGGCTGACTCTGGCCCACCAAACCATCCAATCCAGCAATATTAAAGCCACTAACAGTAATCCCCACCATTTATGACTCTAAGAACATTCTGTTAGACTTAACTAATTTGTCTTACTGATTGTCTTAAAGCTGGTACCTGGTTGGTGATGGTATTCTGTTGTCCCTTGCTCTGCTGCAGGATTGGTTTCAAAGGAGGGAAGTGTTTGGAATGTGTTCTCTGGCTGTTTTCTTTGAGACCGTAGGCGACTTTAAACTGAACAGGAGTGAAAATGTCCCTCACGTCTTTCTGTAAAATCCAATCATATTAAAAATCAATAAAACATTAGGTGTGGTTATCAGTCATTCATATTTACATTCTGTATGTGTTCTTTACATATTTGTGTGTGTGTGGTTGTAAATACCCTTTGGTAAGCCACGTGTGTCGTACACGTCAGATGACCTTGTCTTGCCCTCACATGACCTCTTGTGCTGTTGGACGAGCCATTTCCATGGAAATAGAAACGATGAGGGAAGGATGGTTTATGGAGAAGGTCAGAGGTCAGATTATATTGAAGATCTGGAAAAGGAAGGAAAAATAATTCTAGTAGGAAAGATAGTGGCAGGTAAATGGTGTTATCACAACTTGTGCGATACATGTACTGGACTGTTAATGTCAGTACAACCACAGCAGCTTCACACAGAAATGACATTCTCCTAGTAATTTCCACTGATACTGATATACTGAGAACATCCATTAATATTGCTTTAATACTATGATCTGTATTATCAGTAAAGTATTACCACAGTGCATCATTACTGTCTACATTTTGTTTTTAACAACCAATTCGTGCTGCACACATGCCATAAATTCCATATTTATTATTTCTAGGTTCCTACAGTTGAGGGAAAGGAAGATTATACTGCGTATTCAATTACACAGGAGTTTTTTTGGTCGGGGCTGGGGTAGTGACAGCACAGACAGTGGTCTAGTTTCACCTCACGTATAGTGTCTTGTGTTTCACTATCCCTCCTGTACTATATGTGAACCCACAGCCGTCTGGGTGGATATATATAGAACTGAAATGCAAAAGTTCACTTTGTAAGAAGTCCTAACCCAGAAGCCTTTGCTGCCCTGAACTCCTCCAAGCATGAATGCGAAAAATTATTTGGTTGTTTCGTCCTTTGTGTCGTACCAGTTGCTGTCTGTCCGATTTATACAAAACGTACTACTTTAAGTAATAATAATAACATAATAATAATAATAATAATAATAATAATAGTAACCTATGACTCCTTTGTACTGCCTGGACTTGACAGAGAAGCAGACGGTAACGTTAAAGCAGACAGTTGGAGTCTTGTGGCCTCGACACACCATGGTCTTCTGGTCTATCTGCTCAGGAAGAGCCAGAGACGCCTTCACCTGAATCACTGGACGAGTCCTGGAGTTAAAAAAAGGAGACATTAACCTTGTTATCATGTGTAATTTATCCAGTTATGTCTTGTAGATATGTACCAAATGTATTCATGCTGCACTGACTTGGAGTCTTACCTCAGAACCACAGCTGAGTCTGAAAGGAAAGCGCCCACTGCCAAATCTGTAGAGGAGTTTAATCTGGGTCAAATCAGATCTAAGACACACACACACAGAGTAAGAAGCCCGTAAGGTTTACCCTGGTAGCCATTATCATCAATGTCGATGCCAGAGCTCAGCGACTGCCCAAACATCCTGAGGTCACGACCCAAAGTTGACCCAGAAATTCTCTGGAAACACACACATGTACAGTAAAGTTAATAAATTAAAGAGCGAGCTAATTTACGGAGATGGTGTGAATACAATAACATTGCATATGATCATCTTCTGCAAAGAGTCACTACCTGAGATGGAGTTGGTGAAATACCGTCGCTCCTGCCATTATAAATGTAGATGGCTCCTTTTAGATCGTCTTCTTGTGGGGCGCCGATTGCAACATCTGTGAGAACACATTCGACTTATCTATTAAAACTATCAATAATTAGATAATTAAAAATTGAATCTCTTGGTGAAGCCAGCAGCCAAGACTGGAGACTCAAATTAGACTCAAAATGAATGACATGTTAAAGCCATTTTTAACGTTTTGTGACACTACAGGAATCTGTACATTCAGTGTACCTTACTTAATTACAGGCAAAGGCACCAGATGGGCCGTGAGTACTTTTTCAATCTCACATCTGCCCACCCATTGGGAAACTTTGAACTAAAACCCAAACCTAAAAATAATTGTTAGGGTAAAACGGCGCAGTATTAGTACAAATGTATGGGAAAACACCAGAAGGGCTGATTAATATTCAACCTGAGTCTTTTGAAGATGCGAGATTCGTAACCCTTTTTTTTTTCAAGGAGGCAGCTCCAGGAACACACACACACGTGGGTTTTATCTATGTGTGGTAGATTAGAAGGCAGGGTCAGTGTACAGTTAAAAAGCAGCCAGAGCGTGTCATTACAGTTTTAATGAATTTAATGACACACTCCACCCCCCTCGCATGCACACACACCACACACAGATGGCATTGGCTCTGTTTATGTTTACGTGTGGGGTGTTGCGTTATCGTCACAGTCATGTCTCTAGTTATGGCTGTTAGTGGCTGCTACCATTGCTGATGGGCGGGTTGTGCTCTCGCCCCACAGTTACTGAAAAAAACAAATGTGTGTTTAGTCAGACTTTCATTTGTCCAGTAGCAGTTATAGTAGTTGTTATGGAATTCTAACAGATTAAATCTGGATAGTCTTCAAGGCTGCGTCAATATTTTCAGTTATAATGGTAAAAACTATAGTACCTGTGTTTTTATCAACACTGGCAGTATTTATGCTGTTTGCCAGTAACAAGTGACTTAAAAATGAAATGGCTGCAATCTTGGGATTTTTACCATTGTAACCATCGTCATCCAGGTCTCCCAGGTCAGCGATGGTTTCTCCGAAACGTGCAGCGTAGGCGTTGCTGCCACTCAGCTGATAGTCCGCCTCCATCATTTGTGCCTGAGTCAGAAAACATGAAACACAGGGGATAAAAAGTGAAGTGATTGAAAACAGCTTTGTCAATTATGCAGTCTTTTTGAATATTAACTATGTCTATTAACAGTGACAAACTTTATCCCAGCGTAATGAAAGTCTGGGACACAGCCATACGTAATAACAGTCTTTTCACTCTGTCCTGCTCTGATACATGTGACGGACATGTACTCACCTGCCCCTGATTGATGTACACATGGACTCTCCCCTCCTCCCTGACTGCGCCCGTTGACAGTGGAGCACCGACCAACAGATCTGACAAACCATCTGCATTCACATCCACCGCACAAACACTGGAGCCAAAGTAGGATCCCAGCTGCAAAGACACACACACACACACACATAAACTGCTGAGTAACTGACTTTCTGCAAACAGAGAATGGTATTGCTAAGCAGCTACTGACCTCTTCCCCCGCCACATCCGAGACAATTCGCAGATGGTTGTTTTCAATAGTAAAGATGTATACCTGTACATGAACGATACACACAAACACTAAGATACTACATAAGAACTTTTCTCATCAGGTCGAAGTGAGGTGCTTTGACGATGTACAAACATAAAGATAGTAATAAAGACAGAAAGGAACAGGTGCTACCTTTCCTCGTTGGTTATACTGTGGTGCTCCACCCACCACCTCCACTGTAGCAGGACTCAGGAAGTGACCAGCTCCAACAGAGTAACCTAAACAGCAGCAGTGCACAGTGTTGCGAGATGAGTTTTCACTCTAAGAATTTTTTTGCACTGACATGAGAGATGAGAGCTGGGGACATAAATGAAAATGACCCAAAAATACAATAAATTGTAAATAATCCAGCTTGTGTGTTTTGAGTTTGACTTTCCTGGTTGTTGTTTTTTTTTTTACTTAACATGCAGTTGATAGGACTGTGGTAACTGAAAATTAAATCTGAAAACTGTGCATGTGTGTTTGTGTAATTTTGTGTGTGTATGTCTTTGTGGGATGTGGTTTCTGGTACATGACTGAAAGTCTTTGTCCACTGTAAAGTGTGCCACATGTGTTGTAGTTGCAACACCTTCAGTGTTAACACTTCCAGTTCATTTCTACTTTACAAAGTCTAACTTTCAAGTCAAATTTCAGTCAAATTTCACCACTTTTTAAAATATTTTTTCAGACTGTATGTTAAACTGCATACCCATATAAACATTTTTTACATTGCTTTTATTTAACCATCTGCCAATCATCTAACTACTATTTGACTTTTACTGGGATGATGTGTTGCTTAAATTGCACCTAGTGGCAGCCCACAGTCTGAACAGTAACCATCTGAAAGTATGATAAGACTTCAGCAGAAATTAAGTCTGGGGCAGAGAGCCAGGTGAATAGAGAGCATCACTGTACAGCATCAGCGAATGAGTGGAATAAAAAACAAAACAGCACAGCTGCAGCTGGTTGTGAAAAGACTCCCCCACACAAACAGAGCTTTAAAGTGAAACTGAGATAAGTAACACGTGTATGCAGTCTTTGTTCTGACATCAAGCTGCACTGTTATAAATTGGTACCATCATTAGTCGTGTTTATGCTGCTTACTGCTTTGGTTGTTTGTTGTTTTTTTAAGTTAAGCAACCCTTAACTGGTTTTTAAGTTTGAAATAATAACAGACGTTGTTTTTTTAAGTTAAGGGTTGCATGGTTTTTAAGTTTGAAATAATAACAGAAAAAAATACCAATTAAGTGATAAAATGTGTGGAAAAACAGAGATGTATGTAATCATCATTCGTTCTATTGGCAGTATTTTTCCTTGACATATACCCAGTACATTAGTAACAATCAAGATAAACACAGCTAGTAGTAGCAGCAAGTTTTTTTTTTTACCTAAGTAGCTTCCAAAGGTGACAGCACCAGTTTCATAATCCAGGTATCCTGACATTTCTAGACTAGACGTGTTGAAGACCAGTACAGAGCCAGTCCAATAAGATGTTCCAGGGGCTCCCATGATGATTAGATCCTGAGAAAAACAACCAGATTTAATAGTTTCCATGATGTAATATAAATATAAATACACTCTCGTAGGAAGCTAATAATCTATACCCAGAGAGTGGGCCAGTACAGTCTCAAATCAAACACATATGACACTCTAATTTGGCCCACAAACAGCATAGACTAATACATATAAAAAAAACACTAACACAAGACATTTTCTGTAGGTTCCTCATAGCAGAGAGAAGTCAGACTTTGAAATGGTGTTGAATGTGGGTTACTGACCTCTGTCAGGAAATTTGAAATACCCGCCTGACATGACCCGTAATCCTGACCGAACTTCCTCTGGTGGTCTGCAACAGCCATAGACAAAGAATGTATAGATGTGTCATAGGGTGAAGGTGAACAAACAGTTATCAGGCTGAAGCTCAAATGATTTCCTCATACAACTGAACAGCTGCTGTTTCTCACACAGGGACTTGACACCTATGCACAACATAAATGCTATATATTTTTTGCTGGTACTGAGTAGATGGTGATCTATCCCTGGCTTTTAGTTAACAGTTAAGAGACAAAGTTTCAGGTCATTACTGTTTTTTAACTCTTACCGCTCACATAACTTTTGCTTTCTTGTTTCTAACTGCTGTAGGCAATAATAAAAACTTGGTGTATTGAGCTCTAAACAGTAAACAGACACAGTGAGCTGATGGAAGCAGCTGGAGGCCTTACCCACCGCAACAAGTGAAGAAGAAAAAAACAAGAATGTATGAGAAAATTAGACTGATATTTAGGTTATGGGTAAAACTCAAGAACGATGCAGCAACACTGTTGGGAAGCTAAAATGTTTATCAGAACATTGGTTCACAACAGTCCAATAATTGGTCATTTCAGGTCTGTTTATGAGCTAAGGCTAATAAGCGTCATAAGATAAAGATCCACTTTGATTTATTAGGTACATCTAGATAAGTCATTATCTTATCTCAACTGCATTGTACAAGATTGGAGTGACAGCACTAATTTTGTGTGTAATTTTACAAAGATACTTGTGCGTGTGTGTACCTCTGTAACATGGGATGATGGGTTGACCATGCTTCAGGTCACTGCCATACAGATAACAGACTCCATGAGGCAGCTTGTTGCTTTGACTGTCTTGTTTTGAGTAGAAGGCATTCTTCCAGCGGTGAGCACATGCCTGAACACACACACACACACACGCACGGACACTAACAACATGTGACAAGAACTCATTGTCAACAACAAAATCACAAGTTTAAAACAATTGTGTTATTCCCATGACATTGTGATATCAATAGTCTCTCTCTCTCTAGATTAGACTAGCTAGATTGATCAATAGATCAAAAGATCGATTGATCGATTGATCAATAGATAGATAAATAGCTTTGTCAAACATTCGGAAACAAGTAAAGCTCTGGCTCTGTGGTCACCCAGAAGTGTTTATATGAGTCAATGTAGGTGTGTGTGTGTGTGTGTGTGTATGTGCGAAAGAGACAGACATAAAGTGAGAGGGAAGTTGTCGTTACCAGAATGTGTCCTCCGTTGTCTCCAGGCTGTCTGGACAAACTGACTCCCAGCCATTGGTGATCACTTTCTGATTCACATGTCTTCCCACAGTTTAACACATCTGCACACACACATGACCATGAGATGAGATGAGGAGGAGTTGAGAATAGAAGTTTAATAAATGTAAATGTATAGAGGCGATAATAAGTCAAATAAAAACCAGATATACCTGCAGGCATGGGGTGACAGTGATGGGATTCAGCAGTAATGTTGCAGCGGAAAACTGCTCCTGGAGATTGCAGCACATGACTGGAGGAGGTGTTTGCAACTGGGGCTCCAACCACCAACCTGAGAGACAGAAAGAGAGGGTCATACCAAATCCGCCTGTCTGTTCCATGTCTGAATAGCATCTGTGTGAGAACGATCAAAGGGCCTCTGTCGTTGACAAGAACTGGGTAATTAGCATTCACACCCAAGCACACACATTCACCCTCAAACACGCTGTTAAGATGGCAGCTATTGACTGAAACTGATCTGCCGTGTCTGAGCAGCTGTCATTTATTTTCAGGTCAAAGGTTACAACTGAAGATACACACATACAATGCACTGAAATTAAGTTCTGCTTTCCAGTGATGAGCTCATTACACACATCATTGTTTCCAGATGTCTATTTTAACATGTGCAAATTTCAAAAAGTTTGGAAAAGGTGAGAAATTTATGACACATCTGGGGAACCTACAACTAGAATGTGAACACTACAACACTTTTGTTAAACTGTCCCCATGAGTTAAAATCACCAGAAAAAAACACTAAAGAACCACAGAGATACAGACCATTTGTGAGATTTGTGGCGATGCAGCAGGACTGAGTAGCCAAACATGGAGGAAGAGGGACCACTGAACTCCAGACTGTGGCCCTGATCCAGATTGTATCCTTCTACATGATTGACCAGCAACAGGAATTGTACAAGAAACTGCAGCAGAACCAGGAACAGACTGCAGCAAACAGCAGCACGGAAAGCTGAATGATACATGGTAACGGACGATCTACAGCACACAAGAAAGAGATCATATGACCATGAGGACGTCAAGTCCTATACAATCACAAACACTTGACTGTACTTCAACAGGATGAATACATTTTCTTGAAAATGTAATGGACAACCACAGATCTGAAGTAGTCTGAACAATCAAAACTGCCTATTTAGCACATAAATATACATATAAAGCAGTGATAATCAACTTGTGGCCCTTTCTCCGAATGTGGCCTGTGACTCAATTCTAAAATTCTGAGGATCAAAGAAAAATATCATGTGGTCTGCACTATTAAAGCAACTGAAAAAACAACCACTAAGACTTTAATAACTATCAGTTTCCAGGCTGAAGAAAGAATAAGGACAGAGAGGACATGAAGAAGGGCTGGTGTTTCAGTGGTTCACAGTAGGCAGGAGATAGGGTGGGTTGAGGATATAGGCCATCTCTTGGGGAACCCCCAATGCACTTGTGGCTTTAACAACAGATGAAGTGGTGATTATGGTTAAAGTTAGAGGACAAGAAGCAAGAGACAGAAGATGAGATAAAAAAACAGATCTTATTGGTCTGTTGTGACACAAAAAAAGCAGTAAAGGAGAGACAAGAAGATCACAGAAAGAATGACATCTGTCACGTTCAGGTAATAAATGATTAAACTTTCAACAACAACTATATAAATTTGTCATTGACTCTATGTAAGAAATGTATGACTCTCTCTGTGTGACAGGATATGGTTACACAGTAAGCCCACTAGAAAAAGTCAGTAACAGTTGTAACACTAGTAACACATAGATCCAAAGAGGCATCTGTTCACTTATAATATTGGCCCAACAGTCACTATGTAACTGGCAACATTGTGACTTCAGTAATAATAGTAACCATTCACCATATCTACCCATCATCTTATTAATATTCATATTCTCTATTCTCGTCTATTCTTTAACCAATTACATTGATTAATCTTTTCTAAGACTTGAGAAACTTCTCGATTTGTCATTAGTTTGTCAACAATTAAGCTGTGATTTTTAACTCATTTTGATTAAGAGCAAAACGTTTTCTCATTTTCAAGTCCTTAACGTTCAAAAGCATTTGTTGTAGTCATGTGTGACATCTGATTACTTTAGCCCCACCTTGGTGTTTTAATGAATGAAAACGTACTATTTTACGGGCTAAACTAATTAATAGAGAGATTACAATACCGTTTAAATAGCAGTCACCTGGGGTTGATTTTTGGTTTCCGTCAGCAACGGGGTGGCATGACTGAAAAAGGCCACAATTGTCTCTGGTGTATCCGTTAAACCCTCTGTGGTCCCGGTATGAGTCTGAGTGGTTTTAGGTTAAACCTCCTGTTGCACTTCTTCTTCCACTGTGGTCCGTCATTAACCGCCGCTGGGAGCGTGGAGTCAGACAGCGGCACACGAGGCTCCCGGTAACCCTCGAGGAGAGCCGGGAAGGACGAAATATAAAATTAAAATGTGAAACAGAAAAACGATAAGCCTAAAAAAAGTAAAGTTATCTCCCGTGTCAGATGAAGTCAATGAAACTCAACTACTGAACAGCGCGCGAGGAGGCGACACTCCCTCCCACCCTCCTTCCCTTCGGCGTGTGCGCGCGTGAGTAAGTTCGTGTCACGCGCGTTCGTGTAGGACTTTTATTTTAAAATTAAAAACAGTTCTTGTCGGAACAAAAGCTTATTATATACGTCATATTGTTTAGTAAACAACGTAATAATATTAAATAATCATAAAGACGTGGTACAGCTAGGTTATCACAAAAATAACTTCCTGTCATTAAAATTGTTTCTCATGTACATGGTGGTTAATTTTGACCAAAAAACAAATAAAATGTATATTTATCATATGAAAAGTTGTCAAAATAGTTAAATACAATACCAGAAATGGACAATATAAAGTAACACCCTGAAGATAAGTAAAAGTATTATCATGGTAATACTGTTAATATTGTTATTATTTTGTTAATATCAAATATTATCGTTGTTAGGCCAAGAGAGATATGAAGAGAGCTCAAAATGTATCATAAATAGTTTAGACTTTGAAAGAGGCTTAAAAATGCATTGTCTTCCAAACATAGTATTTTTTGTATTAATACAAAGTTTTTATCAAAGAGAGCAAAAGTGCTGTAGCCTTTATATATATACTTAGACGTTTTTTTTATGAGATCTTGGTTTTAAATGTTAGGAAATACCCATTTACCTCCATGCAGTTATTCTCTGTATGTTTGTGAGAGTAGGTGAGAAAAGAGAGAAAGGGAGGGAGGGAGGAGTTCCTCCCATGTCTAAGGTGTTTCCCTTCCACTGTTGTAATGTCCGCCCATAAGCTCATGGCTGTGTGTGTGTTTGCATTTTTGTCCCAGGGTGTTAACCCCCACAGTTATCACTAGAGTGTGAATGGTGACAGTTGTTGTAATCTGATTTCACTGTCTGATCTCTGAAACATACAAACACTCTTTTTATTAGGGACACCACACTGATAATTAGGGATAAGCTTCTTCTAATGGATGTGACATCAGGAGATAAGACGGAAACTGAGGCTTGGTTGGTGGACATGGTCAGCAACAATACACAAGCAGCATTAGTCAGGGACAATTTGGCTCCTCAAGGCACAATGTACAGGAATTTCCGCCCTACAAAACCATTATACCTTGGAGTTACCTTGAAATCATGACCCTGGCCATCTCAGTCGATGTTCATTAAAATGTTCAGCTCTAACACATTTTATCAGCCTAGAACAGCCAGCGTCATTTTTAATACCACAAGTAAAAATCAAGGATTAAAGATCAAGAAAAAATTGAATTTTGATTTTGGGGCTGGTCCTAGGGCTGTATTTTAAAATTTAATGTTGGGGGCAAATCTCAGGAGCAGTTTGTGTATTTTGCCTTTAGCAGAGCCATCATTACTGCTATGGCAGGTCTCAGTGACTCACTGCCTGTTGACAAGGACTGCAGCACATAATTTGGACACTGGCAGCCACCTATACTGACACCGGTTATGGAGAAAGTGACATTTCAATCCACCAACCATCTAGCCATTCATCCATCCATCCTCTACCCGCCCTACCCTGACAATACTGCTGTGTTCAGATTTGGAATAGCTTGTAAGTAATAAGACACCCTGTGGAGGAGGGCGTCTCCTTAAAATAAATATACAAGAATGTTGAAAGGAAAAGCGTAAATTTAAAAACTAATACACCAAAAAGACCCCAAACCTCAAACCCTTCACCTTTCTACCTCTTAACTCAATGGTTGTTTTGTGACACTTAAATGAAATAGCATAAACATATCAGTATGTTTCAGGCAGCAGTGAGATGATTTAGAAATTTGAGTAGACGTCTCGACGAAGCTCTCCTAGAGGACCTCATGTGAGTCAGCAGTGTTTTTCAATAAATGATTCAATAAATGAATCATAAAAGATTCAATGTTTTTTTATTCTTTGTGTAAAAATGTCTTCACAGCAGCCAGTAGTCTGGTAACCGTCTGTCTGGTCCTTCAGTCTGGTAGTTCCAGACAGAAACACGGTTGAGTAGCAGACTGTTTGGGTAAATGTCGGACAGAAACTCGGCACAGCAGTGTTTGTTGGTATTTCCTGTCACTGACCCTGCACTTATTATGCTGCAATCTGACTAACTACTGTTGCCATCCTCCCACACACACTCACTGTCCTTACATTGTATTTGTATGAAACCCCACCACACTGACGCACCATAGACATGCCTCCATCTTAGGGCCAGCCCTCATTTGATACATGGACGGTTGGTTGACCGTTTCATCAGTTGAAAGATAAAGTGGTCCTTCGACAGCGCAACTGATTTGAAGAGGCATTTTTTCAACTTTGTGTAGAAAGAGATGACATTATCAACTGCCACCCTGGGTTCACAAAACTTTCTGTTATGTTTTTGTAATATATTTGACCACTTGTTAACTAAAAACTAACAGAAAACTGACTGTAAATTGTGCAGAAATGTAATTAGTTGGTGTTTATCATAAATGTAAAGAAAATTGTATTGTTTATCTCCAATTGCTTCACTCTAAAAAATGTCACCATGACTGAAAATCTTATTCAGTCATCATGTTGGAAGTATAAACCTGATGTCAGTTGCATTTCCTCCTGTTGAATGACCCTCAACTGCATCCTTAAAGCAGGTTTGATCCAGGATCCATTTTAGAAGGCCATTGTGCACCAGATTGAAGTGATTTGTGATTTTCTATAGGCACAGACATCAGTTTAGCTCATAAAGACCACATGTTTTTAGAGTAGTCTGAGTTATGTCTGCTGTCTGAGTGTACTGTATGAGTGCCTGGGGGAGAGAGGGAGAGAAAGAAAGAGAAAGGGAGTGAAATCAAGAGGGATTGAGTCACACCCTCAGACACACCTCTAGTACAAACCTACATTTTTAAAGCTGTGATTTCAGAAAAGGTCTAAAGCCAGCTGAGCAGGACACATTTGAAATGGACTTTAAAGACAGGATGCAATCACACAAATAAAAGAATGTGGTAATGTGAATCCCAGACATTTTCTGAGAGGAAAACCACATTTGATGGAACCTGGGATTTACATTGATGTCACTTCAGACTCCTACTGTACTGTCCTCCTGTGACCAAGTCACTCAGGATAGATCCTGAATCCTGAAAAGCTTTTTATTTTGTTCAGGAAAATGTTAAGTGCCCAATTGTTAAATGCAACTGTCAAACCAAGGTTAGCCAAAAATAATAATTAAATTCTAATACAACATAGGATGGAAATCTGCTAACTAATAGTGGATGTTTTTGATTGCTGTGAAAATGATCAAAATGGTCAGAAAACAATGAGGAATTAACCCTAGGCCACTTCAAATCTGTTAAAGTGCCAGGACTTGTCCACAAGCCAGACTATGAACATACCCTTTGAAAGCCTTTAATATGCTAAAGACAGCTGTAACAATTTGAACGATGCAAAGGAAAATGAAAAACACATCCCATGATCTGTATTCCTGTTTCTGGCTGTTAACGATGCAGCTCAGCTGTGGACGGAATGGCTCTCATTATTAAGGAAGAAGTTAAAAGGTCAGTTACTGTAGGGCTCATTAACAATGGCCTTTATGAGCTCCATCATATGATTCTTCCAGTTACGACAAAGCCAACAGAAACCTTCAGTGAAAGGATGTTAGTTATTTAACTGTTGAGCCCTGTGATGTTCCATAGAGGTCACTGTGAATCATTGCACAGTCTGCACTTAGGGAGGTCAGAGGGTCAGAGGGCAATAAACTGGTGAACAGCAGATGAGAAGCAGATAAAGTGCTACAGTCAGAGTGGAAGAGAGAGAACCGTTTGTCTAAATATCAGGACAAAAGAATAAAAGAGATAATAGATCCTGTTAAACATGAAAAATCTAATTCTCCTTTACACACTGTGAAATCCCTAGTCAGTATGTACAGTATATTACTTACATTGTTATTACATCATAAAGGCTGTGAGTATATGTAATGAAATAGTTCTGTTCTTCCCTCTTCCCTTTCCTCATAGGGTGAAAACCAAACTGGGCCTAGTTACATTATTCATCTTTGAGTCCAGAGTGTGTGCCTGAAACACAGCCTTCCAAAAAGCATGACCTAACCTTCTCAGTGGGGGGTGGGAGTCCGTGTGGCACCAATATTATCTGATGACATCTCTGTGTTTCGCTCTTTCTCCACTTCCCCTGTTGGTTTAGCTTATGACAGATCGTTAACTGTTGTCACTACAAATCCATGTACGTATCTATGCTGATGATATAATCATATGACCTCATGACTGTATATCAAGGATTCTGGCTAAATAGAATAGAATAGAATAGAATAGAATAGAATAGAATAGAATAGAATAGAATAGAATAGAATAGAATAGAATAGAATAGCCTTTATTGTCCTTGCACAGTGTACAACGAGATTTGAGAGAGAAAAATGTTGTAAATGTTTTTTTATAAACATTTTACCTCAAATAACTGGATAAAAATGATTAATGCTTTTCAGCAGCTAAAAAACTGCAGTTCAAAGAATGTGCTGTTGAGTCAGCGTGTCTTCTTTGCTCAGAAAAACACACAAACTCACAAACACACACACACTCTTCCAAAGATTACAGAGTGTGTTTGTGAGCATTATCTATGGTATGCTAATAGACTGGTGATCCCCACTGTGTTCACATCGGATGACCATGGATCTGTCAGATCGGATCCAGATACTGAGCTTAGATGCATTTGTGTGTGTGTGTGTGGAGGAGGCTGCACAGAGTCAAAAGGAGAGGTTAGATGAAAAGGGAGGAACTGCTGACATTACTGAAAATGGAAGGAAATGACTGTTTATTTATCAGTTTTATATCTGTTTTCCGAACCAATCCCTGAAAGTCCTTCCTGATTGGTCCACTGTTCAACTGTCTCTAATTTAAGGTCCAGCTGCTGGTAATGTGGCACCGTAATCTGTCCTCGACTCTTGACAATGTAGTGACGACGTGCAGGGCTAATTTGTGAAGTACTTAGTCATTAAGGAGACTGAAAGGTCAAACATCTACCTTTGAACCAGCGACTCGTGTCTCGTAAATGTCTTTGAACTGCCCTTTCTAATATGCTACAGCCTGAATAGATGTGTGGCCTTGTTCTGACCTAGTATTAACAACTGTCTTAAGTGAGCCGATCACCATGATCTCTACTCCACTGATCTGGTTCCTGTTATGCCACTAATGACAGGAGAGCAGCTGATAAGTTTAGGTTTTCAACGACCTGGTATTTTACTATCATTCTTCAGCCTATCAGAATGTCTCTTCAGAATGAATCTATGTGATCATCTTTTTAACTACTCTCTAAACACAGTAGTGTGGATGGAGACAAGTGTCGGGGGTGATTGGGGGGTTTATGAGACAGTAAATGGATAGACATTAAATTTGGAGATAAAGTTAGAGAGGTTAGGTTGAGATGATTTGGACATGTGTAGGATGTTAACGATGGAGAAGAAGAGGAAGAGGAAGACCTCAGAGGAGATTTGTAGATTGGCAACAACTGATGGGAACAGCCAGAAGAAGAAGGAGGTTATTAACACAACGTCATCTGTAAAAGTAAAAACTATTTTTGTTGTTGTTTTCTGCCAGATACTATTCCTGAGCCAACACCTTCTGTACAGGTTGGGAGACAAAGGCTAAGTTTGAACCAGGGGTCTAGGGAGACACCTTACCACTACTGTAGCTCGCCCCTGGCTCCAACCTTAAAATAATCTCATTAAAAGTAATGAAAATGTAATATATGTCAAAATAGTTTTGAATGCATATAACAATAAAATAATAAAATAATAAAAATGATGACTATTTTTAAAAACGTTATTTGGTTATAAAATGATCGTATTGAAGTTACGTGGTTTCATATCTGAAGATCTGACTGGTAATATGGAGGGGAAATCTTATACTTCTGAAATCACATCCAGGGATAATTTCAGAAACATGTCAAAGTGCATGACTAAGTCATAAAAATACAGGCCAGGACAGGACAGCCCTGTCCCAAGTAACAAATATCTTTTTACCATGTCCATTCGTTTTACATAACTTGTCCTTTTTCCTTCACTTTGGCAGTGTCCTCAGATTACTACGGTCCTTGGCTACCACTGCCATGGAGATGACACCATTTAGATGTGCAAATCAGAGCCATAATGGATTCAAAACACTTTTGTGAGTTGCTGACTCGATTCAAACTTGATTTACAGTCCAGATTTAACACGCACAGCTATTGGCTTTAATGAAAAACAGAGTTTTGAGCTCTGTAAGACATTTCTCTCCAAAAATATGTGCCTGAGGACTTGTACTTAAATACTCCCATGACCAACCGTTGATACGTTTTGACTGAAAAAGAATCAAGTTTTTCCTAACACAGTTGTTCCTTTTGTCCCGGTGCTTCAACCAGGAGAGGGAGTCATGTTGATGTAGGGTGTCCTAAGCTGTCCCACATCCCGGCTTGATTGTTCTCTGTTGTACGTGTGTACGGCAAAACAGATGCTGGGGTGGTTTCTAAGCGATGGTGGTAAACAGAGGCACAGATGATAGAAAACGGTCCGATTTTTAACATCAGCAGCTCCGTGGAGTGCTGTGATCACTGCCTTATATGGATATGTTCCTGTGGGTGAGGTCACTAACCGTTAGTTCGCCATGACATCGCTCTCTCTCTCTTTCACACACACACACACACACACACACGTAGAACATGGATATAGGTCACTAATATAAACTGTAAAGCGAAGACAGAGGAAGCTGTATATATTATAAGAGTGATGTATGTTCTGTGTCACACACACACACATGCACACACTCTGGCTGCCCCTCCCTCTCAGACCCCCTGGGGGTGGCAGGGGAGGGTTGGGGTGTCTGAACAGCTTGTGACATCTCCAGGCCATGATAACGTCTGCTAATTGGTTCCATCAGGCCAATGAGTGTGTGTCTGTATCTGAGTGTTTGTGTGTCTGTTCGTGTGAGTGTGTATAAACATGCACTCTATTGTCACTCCAGTCATTCCTCCCACCGACTCACAGCATGTTAGTGTGTTTCATGTAACTTTACAGCAGCATTTCTTCCACCTTTCTCACCAGACTCTTGGTGAAATGGGGAACTACCAATATTTTTAAAGACAGGAAGAGGAACAAAGAAAGCAAACCTTAAAAACGACATGCAGATGTAATACTTCTGTGTAGTTCATTTTCTGTGGAGCCTGAACGAGTCAAAAGTACGTCTTCTTTCACAGGTTGTAGCAAAACTAAGTTACACCTCGGCAGGTGTGAATGGGTCTGGTCTGTCGTTGTAGGTGGCCTCACCTGACTACAGACTACTACTACTCCTACAGACCTCGACTAGAAATACTAAGTCGGAAGTAAGGTCAATTATTAATTGCTCTAATGTTGAAATGTTGTTGTTGTAGAGACACAAAGACAGTTTCACTAAAGACTATAACTACCTTCTTGACCCTTGAAGTTGGACTGGACTTTTGGAGAAAAATATCTTATTATCTTTGACTGCATGTCAGTGACAGCATTGAATTCTCACGCCTACTTATTTCTCACCCCACAGTGGGTTTATTTAAGGGAAGTTCATAAGACTGAAATGTTATCATTATTTTAATGATCCAGAAGACTTTTATATTTGATTTTTAAATTAAAAATAAATTAATAAATAAAAATTTTTATTAACTTTACGTAGCTTCTACACATGTCACATGATTAAACTTAACTATTTATTTTTAATTGTATTTTTACTCATAATTGAAACATATTTTACAAAAAAAAATTATAGTTTCACATTTTAGAGCCAAAGGACCAGACTTCGGAAACATGTGATCTAGCTGTGATTATTCCAGAGTCTCTAAGGGACAGAGGGTGTAGTATGAAAGCAGTGGATCTTTCTGAATGGGTGGAAACATGGAGAAAAACAATCCCAAAATAGACTGGATAAAGGAGGAAGTGAACATATTTGGGAGGGAAAACCAATGACGAGCTAAAAGATGAAAATAGAAACTAATTTTCAAAATGAGTATTGGAGGATAGCCATGAATACAATAAAGCCTTGGTCGTATTTCCAAATCAGGAAAAAAACAACAACTCAAGTTTGATTACTGAAGGAAACAAACGTCT